GGGGGCACCTGTCTGGATCTCTGGATCTCTGGTGTCCACAGGGGCTGCTGGGACCCTGCGTGTTGCCAGGAAACCCACAGCTTTGATGATGGTGGTTCTGACCCGACTGTAGTGCTCAGTGGCCCACCAAGCACCAGCACGGAATCCCACGGAGCAGCCACCACACAGAGGGTGGCTGTCCCATCCAAGCTCGCAACACACACAGCCCCGGATGCTCAGGAGGGCGAGCCCCTGGCACATGTGTGGACATTAGACAACACACCAGCTCAAGGTGACAGAGAGAAAAGCCCAGAGGAGTGGAGACCACAGGGGCCGCGGTCTGGATGAGGCTGGGGGAGGGGCACCCAGGAGCACAGCACCCGCAGGGCCACACCGTCCAGCCCAGGGGCACAGCTACACGGGCCAGGGCACCCGGCAGCCACAAGTAGGGCAGGGAGGGAACCGGGGCTGTGGTGAGAAGGTGGACAGGGTCAGGACAGAGTGACACAAGGGGCATCGCGGTGGAAAGAGAGGTGTCCTGGCCCACACCTGTGCCACAGCCTTGGAGGGCCCCTTTGTCACCCAGCCCAGCCAGGTGAGGGGCAGCGGCTACCCTCCTTGGGCCCTTCCCTCCCCCACCAGCAGAGGCCCCCGCGCTGCCTGTGAAATGCCCTCTGAGAATCCCCACGGCCACCAGCTGCACACAGAGATGCCTCGGCGACAGGCCTAGGGGGCGCACAGCAGAAAGCCTGGCTCCAGGCAGGAAGCGTGATGCTCTCTGCAGTGTCAGGAGCGCGCCCTCTGCTGAGAGGGTGTCCAGGTGAAGCCCTGAGGATGCCGGAAGGTGGAGGCAGGGTCCTCTCTCCCTGTCAGAGACGTGCGAATGGGGGCAGGGTCAGCCATGCGCCCTGGGCTCTCTGCCTCCGCAGGCTCCAGCCGCATCACCAACTCCTATAGGGCTGAGACCTGAACAAGGACCCTCCACGCCTGGGGTCACAGCTGCAGGCTCCTGCAGCGTGAGGGAGTGGGCACCATACAGGTGCCAGCAGCTAGGACTGCAGCCAGCCAGGCTGCCGAAGGCCCCGGGCACAGGGAATGTCACAAGGACCCCTCTCACCTCCAACCTGAGGAACACAAGATGGAGCGGGGACTCCACACCACAAAGACCAGCAAAATGAGACCCGTTCCCAGAATCTAGCAGGAAGGCCTTTTCGCCTGTCCCTCCCTGACCCCAGACAGCCTGGCCATCTCAGCGGAGAGCTGCTGCCACCTAGTGCCAATGTCAGCAAGCGCATGCCCCGTGCCCCTGCAGCGCAGGGAAAGGTGCCCCAGGGAAGGGTGCCCCTGGGAAGGCGCTTAGAGCCCTCACTGATACCGCTCCTCCTGAGACGGGCAGAACCTGCTGGAGCCACCAGGGACTTCAGGTGACATCCACACAGCACAAGGGCCCTGCGGGAGGGCACGGTGAGACACTGTGGGCCATGTGCCTTTCCCCACTCTCCCCACTCCATCCCCCGCCGTCGCCCACCAGGGCTGATTCCAGGGACTCTGTGCCAGGTCCCCAGTCAGGGTAGACTCCAGCCCCGAGCTGGGACAGAACCACAAGGGTCAGAGCTGCTACCAACTCAAGCTGCACCACGTCCCAGATCTCGTCCTCTCAGTGCCCTTGTCCATCCGGGGACATGGAGCTCGGGCCCCAGGCATGCAGCCGGCCTGCCTGTGCCCACCAGGCCCTCGGCCTCCTTGTCCTCCTGGCCCTTCCCTTCACTGCCCACAGGTCATTCAAGACCTGAGGGATCCGAGAGCAGCACTGCCGGAGGCCCACCTGTGACCCTCCTCCCAGGACCCCACTGGCCCCAGGCAGCTTGCACAGCCCGGCACAGGGCCCACAGAGGCCATCACTGGGGCTTGGGTCTTCGGCCAGTTCTTGCTGACCCTGGACAGTCCTGGTGTGAGGTCATGTGGAAAAGGGCCCAGGAAGCTGCAGGACGTACACCGCATCTGGCCCCAAGCAGGCCTCCATCCCTGACCCAGCTCCTGGGCCCTGGGCTGCTGTGGGGCCCTGGGCGAGCCCTTCTCTCCCCCAGGCCTTGGCCTGAGTCCTCCTCAGGGGGAGACCCACGGCGACTCATCAAAGCAGCAAGCCTCAGAGCACAGATACCAAGTGCACACCCGAAAGCCAGGCCGTGAGGCCACAGTGCAGAGCCCCAGCAGCACCAGGAACTGTACACAGCCACACCCCAGGCACCCAGGGGCATGCACCCCTCACGCCTCTCTCATCGCCACCTCTGCTCTGCAGATGAGGAAACCTGAGGATAGAGAGAACGGAAACCTGCCTGGACACAGGGCCACCAAGGCCATGCCGACCTGCACCCTGAGCCACCACAACCCATGCACAGTGCAGGGACCTGGGCGGCGTAAAAGGAGGAGGGTAGTTGTGGAGGGCAGGCGCCCCGTGCCCCACAGCCCTGTCCTCGAGGCTCTGCCCTGGCTGGGAGCGGGACCCTCACAGGTCTCTTCCAGCTATGGCTTCCTTCATTCAGTGGGCAGGTCGGCCCCAGTACCTGACTGCTGTGTGCACCTGGACGCACCCTGGGCCCCCAACTCCCCAGGGCAGAGGGGGATGCACAGGGTATCCCCAGAGCACCCACCCATGGAAAGATCAGAGCAGCAGGCCATGCAAGAAGCCCCACCCCATCTGTGCCCAACCCTGAGGATGAGCCTGGAACACTGTCCCCAGCACCTTGAGGAACCCTCACGTGGCCCCAAACCGCAGGAGAGGAGAGTAGGACATGAGGACTAAGGGAAGGGAAGCAAGAGCATCTTGTGGATTTCAAGGTAAGATCCAAGGGTGCTGCCGTGCCGTGGCCCAGGGCACACCCTAGCACCCTGCCCACAGTCCACGGGGAACCCCACGCACCCCCAGGGCCCCACCAGGACTCCCAGCCACGGGACCCAACTCACGTTCACACCGAAGTCGGGAGACGTGGAGCTCCAGATGGCACCAATGCTCGCTGCGGCCAGCATGGCCTCCACCGCGTGCTGGCCATTGGGCAAGTAACCTGTTGGCACGGGAGGAAGCCTGGGGTTCAGGTGGCATCCAGGCAGTGGCTTCCAACAGTCCTAGGAGAGCCAGGCCAGGGTGGAAAGGGGCTGGCCAGCTGCTGTCTGAGTAGCAAAACCATCTGCCACCAAGCTTTCTGTCCACTGCACTGTCCCCCCCGTCCACCCTCCACGCTCTAGCCAGAGCCAGCCCTGCCCTTGCTGGTCTCTCCTCCCCAGTCACAGCAGGCTTCCCTCAGCCCCTCAGCTGTTCTGAGCGCCTTCTGCGTGGGGCGTTGGCACAGGCCGCCTGCTCTGTGTGCACCCTCCGCACACACAAGCCCTTCCCCACTCGCCTCCAGGGAGAGATCCCCACGGAGGCCAAGAACGTGGGTCCCCCGGCTCGTCAACCCAAACCCCTGCACTCCTGTCCTGCCAAGCTCATCGTGACACACATGACACAAGCAATTGGCTGCCCGTGTAGGGGCCTCGCAGGAGGGGAGGGCTCTGCCTGCCTCGAGCTCCACTCAACCAGGAGCCTTTGCCCACGGCACGCCCAGCACAGCAAGGCCAGGGTACCTGCTGGCAGATGGAGGGACAGAGGGAAAGATGGAGGGGCGGAGGGAGAAAGGGAGAGGGAGGGAGGAGTGAATAGATAGAGGGATAGAGGTAGAGGGAGGGAGGGAAGGAGGAACGGAGGGACAGACAGATGTGTGGATGGCGGGATAGAGGGAGGGAGGGCCCAGCCTCGAGTGGGCATCTGAGGGCCGAGCAGGGCTGTGGCTCTGTGCCCTGAGGGCTGGCTCCATGACATAGCAGCAGAGAACATCCCCCACCAGAGACCATGATCAACACAACAGACTGATCCACATTCCTGAGAGAGGACTTGGGGAACAAGGTGTCTGGAGCAGAAGGGTCCCTGTCCCCTGGGCAGCCCGTCCCTCTGCCCAATCCCCACCTGCTTGGTCACACAGCTTACACTTCTGTCCTCTGCGCTCAGGCATCTCCCTTGTGAGGCCAGGAGCACCCACTGGCCAGGCCAGGCATGGCTTGCTTGGCCCAGACACAGGCCCCAGAGGTCCCTGAGCCCACCGCAGGGAAGAACGGGGGTGGCCACTCCCCGAGGGCAGCAGGACTCCCAGCCCAGGGCAGTCTGCAAGCTCCAGTGACTCTCTAGTGACTGACAAGTGAGCAGCCCGTCCTCCTCCAAGCCCTCCAGCCCAGCACAGGCCCCTCCGCAAGCCCCGGCAAGCAGAACTGGGCCCGAACTCCACGGTGGCCCTCAGAGCCCCTGCCCACTCACCCCCTCTGAACCTTTTCCTGATGGCCCTTCTAGAATACAGAAGTCCCAGGCTGGTGACTGTGCTTGGGGGAAATGGGTTTCCAAGCTGCAGTCCACAAGAGGGATGGTGGCCTAGGCTGGCCTGGCCTTGAAGAGCCCTGGGCCCTGCAGCCAGCGCCTCCTCAGGAAAGCCCCTCCAGGCACTCAGCCTCCCCCAGACCCCACTCACTGCTCTCAGGAATGTGCTTCAAATGGAAATTTGAAAAATGAAAACCAGGGCTGGGGCGGAGTCCAGAGGCAGAGCACTTGCCCAGCTCAAGGGAGACGCCGGGTTCCATCTTGTGGCAAAAATATATATAAAATAAAATAAAAATGGAGGCAAAGGAAAAATGGAGCCCACGAGAACCTTCTGCGCTGTCCTGCTGAATGTTTAAAAAGTGTGACTTACTGGGGGGAGGACAGCGAGATCCTATGCACCCAGCGGCACCCTGTGGCACCAGCAGTGGCCACCTAGAGGTGTGCCAGGCCCTCTGCAGAGACACCAAGGGAGCAGAAGAGAAAGCCTGTCCCACAGTGTTTCAGGCCACAGCCCATATCCCAGGAACCCGGGGGCCAGGGGCTGCAAGAACAATGGAGCCTATGCTGGGAGGGGTGGCAACGGACTTGCCAAAGGAGGGCCAGGGTCAGCCTCCATCAAGGTCACATGTGAGCATCTGGATGCGTGGGGTGGACCCTGAGGATACGCGGGAGAACAGCCGGCCGTTCAGAGCAAGATGGGGCGAGTGGGCGTGTCCCTGCTAGTCACCAACAGCAGCTGAGCATGAGCTCCTTGCCCAGTCACCTGAGGGGACACAGGCCCCAGCCAGCCTTGTCCCTGGTTCACATGGGATGAGGCCACCTTCGTCCTCTTAGCAAACACAAGCTGAACACACCTGTTCGCAGGAAACTCCCTCAGAGAGGCACACCCTAGCCAAACAGCCCTGCCCAGCAGGACCTCCAGCCACTGCCCTGGACCCTGGCCCTCATCCACCACCTGAGGGGGAGAGGAGGGAATTCAGGAGCCCCAAGCCCTGGGTCCACGGGAAGACGCGTTCCGTCACCTTCATCCCTGCCTGTGTCCCCGTGCACACGCCTACTGGGCCTGGGGCAGCTCCACACCCAGGCCTTTCATTTTTTCCAGGAGTCGATGTAAAAGGAAAACTAAGAATCACTTCAATTGCTCCTAGCAGGAACTTGTGCCTTGCCACCAAGGGGACAGGAAAGGAGCAGAGCCAGGCCTCAGGCCTTGATCAACATCTGGCACTCCAGCCTCCCCCTTCTAGGTCAGCCCTGGCAGGGCCTCTACCCAGCACTGGGCAGCTCCTGCCCGCCCCGCAGTCTCTAGACTCTACGCACCTTCCCTCGTTCCCCAGGTCAAGGGAAGGGCCGTCAGAGGGGCCACGTCGGGAAGCCCTGGGGAGGCACTGAAGGGGGACCAGCCTTTCAGGATCAGCCTGGACCTGGCCCACCCTGCACCCCACAGCTCCTGCTGCTGCCAGACGACTCTCCAGCTCCTGCCCAGTGCACACTCACACCGCTGCACCGCCTGGAGAGCCCTGGATTGTCGGAGGCTCAGGACAAGGCAGGAGCCCGAGGACAGGATCCCCCTTCACCACCGGCTCCCTCTTCACACTCTGCCCACATCTACTTCTTGCCTCATGACAGTGCAGCCCTTCGGGGACAGGGACCCCAACCCACTCCACCCACGTGGAGCTCCTCGGCCCTCCATGCCGTCCATGCTGCTCTGGCCTCCCCAGGCCACTCCCACCCCAAGACACTCACCAACCACCCGGTCTCCTTGCCTCACGCCCATCTTCCTCATGGCCGCGGCAAACAAAGCCACCTGTTGTCTCAGCTCTTCAAAAGTCACCTTCACAATTTCCTCTTTGCCTTCCCCTGGGAGAAGAAAAAGACATGTGTACACACACCGACCTAAAAGAAAGGTCCCCTACGCCAGGCATGGTGGTGCACTGGGGAAGCTGAGGCAAGAGGACCGCAGGTTCAGGCCCAGCCTCAGCAACACAGTGAGATCTGTCACTACATAAAATACAAAAGGGCTGGGGGATGTGGCTCCGTGGTCAATGCCCCTGGGATCAATCACCTGCCACTCAAAAAACAAATAAATAAATAAAAATGATATGAGCTCAGGGTAGAAAACTTGACTTTGTGCATAAATAAGAAAATTAAACAATCGACCTCACTTGTTACCTAAGAATAAGCATCAAAACAATGAGACTCTAATTTGTATCAAATAGACCAGTAGGGACAGACGGGAGGGGGCAGTGGCCTCCATGCCCATACCAAGGCTGCTACCCTGGTAAGCTCTGCGCAGCCCCTCCCTTGTGGACCAGGCCTAGCTTGAGCAACCAACCAGGTGTTGTGGACACCAGAGTGACCTCAGAGCTTTGGTCAAAAGAGACACCCATCAGTGGTGTACGCCTGTAATCCCAGCAGCTGGGGAGGCCGAGGCAAGAGGATCACAAGTTCAAAGCCAGCCTCAGCAAAAGCAAGGCCCTAAGCAACTCAGTGAGACCCTGTCTCTAAATAAATACAAAATAGGGCTGGACCTGGGGCTCAGTGGCAGAGTGCTTGCCTAGCATGTGTGAGGCACTGGGTTTGATCTCAGCAAATAAACAAATTAAGTAAAGGCATTTTGTCCATCTACAACTACAAAAAAATAAAAATAAATAAAAATAACATGATCTGGGCCCACCATCTGGAGTCTTTGAGGATAGAGTTCCAGGCAAGTTTAAAAAAATAAATAAATAAAAAGGGCTGGGATGTGACTCAGTGGCCAAGAGTGCCCAGGTCCTAGAGCTGCACAGGATCTCCAACACACGACCTTGATTGAAGGCTCTCCGCATTTCCCCATGCCCAGCACGGTATGACCACACAGGTGCCCGACGACTACACACAGGTGCAGAACACCCCCTCAGCCCTGCGACCCTGCAGTGGTGCTATCGTCCTTCCCATGTCACAGCTGCAGGAAGACTCAGTGCTTCCGCGACTCACCCAAGGTCACATGGCTAATGAGGGTGGCCGGGCCTAGACCTCTCAAATCCAGGCGTCCACCCCTTCATCCTGCCTGACTGAACAGGGAAACCCTGGATAAAGACTGAGGTGGCCACAGAGGCAGGGACACTGGAGCCTGTGAAGGCACTCAGCGGAGACAGGGACCAAAGTAGCCGGGGCCCATGTGGAAGCCAGGGGGCCAAGCGCCCTGCACCCCAAGAGCTCTCAGCAGCAGACCCTGGCACGTCCTGAACAACAGAGGCCCAGCCTGACAACAGAAGGTTCGCCCCAGCTCCTGAGGCCCCTTCCCACAGCATCGTGACATAGCATGTGGCCTCTTGAGAGGCAGCCTAACTCACAGGGGGGAGCTGGGCCACGAGGAACACCTGACCACATGGGGGACGCCAGGTGACTGCACGCACTCCAGCTGAGCCAAAAACCACCCAGCGGCACCCTCACTATGAGCAGGGAGCCTGCCCCCATGTTCCATTTGCACCGCGGCTTCCAGAGACTTCTTAGCACCAACTGGGACCCACTTTCCACCTGATGGTAGAAGGAGAAGCCGAGGGAAGAGACTGCGGCTGCCCCGGTGGCTCAGGCCACTCAGTGGCGTCTCCACTGCTCCTGGCGCTCCCTTCCCAGGGAAAACCAAGGTCACGGTCTTCGTCCTCTGGGGGAGGCATCAGCCTGTCGGGTGACGATCCCAGCCCGCAGCTCCTGCGTGCTTCAGGCCCCTCCGAACGCTCAGCGCCACAGACGTGCACCTGTGCGCCACCCAGAACCCCTGGGCACTCACTGGCCACGTAGAGGGCCACTTTGTCGTTCTCCTTGTGCCTCAGGAGGTTCTCTGCGTAGTTGAGACGACTGCCTTTGAACCACTCGGGGATGTCTGCGATCCCTTTCGACGTGTCCACGACCTGCAGAGGACAGAAAGCCAAGATGCACACACATGCACACGCACGCATGCCCACACACACACACACACACACACACACACACACACATGCGGTGCATACTCAGCAGGAGTGCACCGTGAACAGGTGAAAGCTACTGCCAGGGGAAGCTGACTCACTCACTGCCCAAAGCCTTATCCAGTTTTCATTTTTTTTTTTAATTTACTTTGCTACTCTAATCTACTACTTTATTTATTTTATTTATTTATTTTTTGGTGGTGCTGGGAATTGAACCCAGGGCCTTCTGCATGCAAAGCAAGCACTCTGCCAACGAAGCTGTAGCCCTAGTTATTTTATTTTACTGTATCGTGGATTGAACCCTGGGGTGCAACCACTGAGCCACATCCCCAGCCTTTTTATCTTTGAGACAAGGTCTTGCTAAGTTGCTTACAGTCTCACTAAGGAGTTGAAAAGTTCTTTATAAAATCCAGGCCAGTTTAAATCACTACATCAATATGCATGTGCTTACTACTGTTGAACCATACTCTATAAAATTGCTATAAGGGTAAATTTTATGTGTATTTTACAGTCAAAACAATTTGAATAGAGCCAGACAAGGTGGCACACGCCCATAATCACAGCAGCTGGGGAGACTGAGGCAGGAGGATGGCAAGTTCAAGGCTAGCCTCAGCAACTCAGCAAGGCCCTAAGCAACTTAGCATGACTCTGTCTCTGAATAAAACACGAAAATGGGCTGGGGAGGTGGCTGGGTGGTGGAGCACCCTGGGTTTACTCCTTAGCAGGGCTCAAGCTCCCAAAAGGGCCGGGGGTGCACCATGCAGAGCACTCACAGACAGCAGGCTCTGGGAGCAGGGGCCTAGACTAAACCTGCTCTCCAGGTCTGGATTTTCCCTGCCAACGTGAGGATTTCAAAGGAGACACAACCTAGCATTGCCCCAAATGGGCACCTCACCATGAAGAGCGCGAGGCAGGATCTCCACTTACCTCGTCGTACATGCGCGAGAAGACGATGCCACTGAATTCCCAGAACTCTGCCCAGAAGTCCGAGTATGACTCCACCGACCAGTGGTACAGGTCGTCATAACTCTCTAAGAACAAAAGGAGACGGCTCAGGGCTCAGGGACGTGTGGTGGGAGGCTCAGCAGGCCAGCAGGAGTGTCATGGCTAAGGAAGGGGGTGGCCCAAGGAGGAGCCCCAGCAACAAGAGCAAGCCCTCTGCCACCTGTCCCCCGAAGAAGCGTTACCCTGGAGCCAGATGCCAGGTGCTCCCCACCTACACAGAGGCAGGATTAACAGCCCCCCAGGGGATTTAAATGAGCACATGTATAAAGAGCTTAGAGCAGGGCCGAGCAAGCCTGTGCCCAACAGACCTGGAACACTGCGGGCCAGAACCACTAGCTTGTTGGTGGACTTCCTGCCAGGACAGGGTCCCAGGGAGGGGCTGTTATTTATTGTGATTTTTTAATAAGTAAGACATTCATATGATTTAGCATTACAAAAATATAACAAGCCTCCCTCTTGCATCCCACAACCATCTACCTCTCCTTGTCCAGAGATCGCCAGTTACAGGATTCTCCGTGTCTTGGCAGAGAGTGAGTGACATGCCCCTCCCCAACCCTTCCACTCCTACTAGCCCACTGGTCACACCAGGCTCCCGTGGGGACATCTCCTCTGCCTTTGGGCCCTCCCAATTTTTCTTTTCTTTTTTTTTTTTTTTCTTTTGTTTTTTTGGCACTGGGGACTGAGCCCAGGGCAGTCTGCCACTGAGCCACAGCCATAGCCCTTTTTATGTTTTTTTGTTTGTTTGTTTTTGAGACAGGGTCTCATTAAGTTGCTCAGGCTGGCCTCCAACCTGGGATCCTCCTGCCCTGGCCTCCTGAGTCACTGAGATTACAGGCGTACGCCACCTCATGCACCGCCACGTGTGGCCCTCAGTGAGCTTCCAACAGGATGCTACCTTCACCTGCATTTGCAAATCCAGAGAGGACTATGGGCTCCCTCACCACTGGGTTCACCTGGGATCAATAGTAACATTTCCTCTCTCTTCTCTCACAGAGATTATGGGAGAAAGGAGTGTGTGTGTGCAATTTTGTATCACGAATGCAGCCTGCTTTACCCTCTGTCCTGTGACTGGCTGGCTTGTCTCACTGAAGACATCACGGCCCTCTCCACTTCAGTGTGGAGGGAGCTGCCTCCTCCCTGGGTGTAAGGGCTGCCGGGTGTTCCACTTGGGGAACCAGGACTCAGTCAACCACACTCCTCCAGGATGTCTGGGTTGTCTCCGGGCTTCAAGGACCAATTATACATGGCTGTAGCTGTCTTTTTCTTTTGAGGGGGAAGTACTGGGGATTGAACCAGGGGCACTCACCCCTGTGCCATGTCCCCAGCCCTTTTCTGTATTTTATTTAGAGACAGGGTCTTGCTGAGTTGCTTAATGTCTCACCTTTACTGAGGTTGGCTTTGTACTCATCATCCTCCTGCCTCAGCCTCCTGAGCCTCTGGGATCACAGGCATGTGCCACCATGCCCAACGAAGCTGTAGCCTTTAACAGGACAAGAGCAACACAACTTTGCAGAAGAAATCCAAACTACCTGAGACGGACAGTCATCGACACATAGCTGAACCCAATGCCTCAGAAATCAAGGCCAACCTGGGAGGGACAGAGGCGCACATCTGGGAGCAGGAAGGAGAACCCCAGGGGCCGCCGAGAAGCGGCGGTGAAGTTAAAAGACCACTGTCCCTCCAGACACTGTGGCGCACCCCTGTAATCCCAGCAGCTCAGAAGGCTGAGACAGGAGGATCACCAAGTTCAAAGTCAGCCTCAGCAACTTAGTGGGGTCCTGTCTCAAGATTTCAAAAAAATACATATATTTGGTTTTGTTTGTTGGCTTAAAGGGCTTGGGAACGTACCTCAGTGCCATCTAGATGAAACGGGAAACAGAGCTGGATCTCATCCCTAGGGGAGGCCTCACTTCTCTGTAAACTGCCCCCAGCTGGCTGAGGGCTTCACCCTCCACGTGCACAGGGTCCAGGTGACTAACCAAAACCAATCAGCAATCCTGAGGCAGAGGGGACCGCTGTGCACTAGAGGCCCAGGGGAAGCCCCAGGCACAGCCCACTGGTGGGACACTGGAACAGCAGGAAGATGACCGACCAGAGCACACTACACCCACGCTCAATCATCACGGCAGTCCACACACCAACACTACCCCTCCTCACAGTCCCCAGGCCTGAGGGGCAGAGGAAGAGGCCTCGTGACACTGAACTTGGGCAGTGTCCCTTCTGACTGTTGGGTCCAGTAACTCCTCAGGCATGCTGGACTCAGGGGGACAGGGCCAGGGCTGGCCTGGCCACAGGACACAGTCTGGACACTCAGGTCTTCTGGGCTACAGCAGTGCCAAGAGCCCAGGTGGAGATAGCTGGTGTGGGCAGGGGCGGGGGGACGCCGATCGCCCTGAGGGAAGCAGGGAGCTCAGAGGCTGGAGGATCACTGTCAGAGGCAGACCCCAAGGACCTTAGGACTCCAGGCCCAGAAAGCAGGGATCTGGTTCA